GAGATGTGGATACAGACCATCCTCAAAGAAGTGGGCCTGGGCCCTGCTTCCTCTTGTTCTCTTCCTCCTCAGTTCCCTGACTTCTGTGCTATAGGACCACACACTTTAGCTGAAAGGAACTTCCTGAGGAGAGGGATCCATTAGCCACATACACCATGTCAGAAGTCAGCTCTGTGTTTCCCCCATAACCCTAACCCTGGTGTCCCATTGCAGGATTTTTCCCAACTCATAATTATTCTCTCTCCCTAGGTCAGTAAGTCAATAGAACGTTAAAAAAAAAAAAAAAAAAAAAAAAAGACTGTCTCCAAAATGACTCCTTTGCTAAAACTCTTTTCTCACCCCTTAGGGCTCTCCTCTGAGGTGTTAAAACCCCAATCAGGGAGTCATCACCATAAATAATGCATCAGGCTTTCACCAAGAATCAGTAAAGCAAGGAGCAGCTCAGAAAAGTCCATTATCCCCCCATGGTTCGTAATTGGGCATTGTGATTAATCCATTTTTCTGCTATTCAGATGAACACCTCATAGTAAGAGTCAGTAATTACAGAATATTGAATAGGTACATGAATAACCAAAATGTACCCATGCTTTGAGTTGCTGCAGCAACTTGATTCCCAGAATCTTTATTCATGTTGAGATTTAAAGGTCCGCAACAGCGTAAGTGTAGCAGAGAAGTGAGAGATAGGAAGCCCAATTTTCAGAAAATCATGAGTGGCTAAAACCCAGAAGGCTCATGAGCTTGCTTGTACATAATCACATGAATCAGCTCACATTCAACAATTCATCAACATTTATTATCTGCTATGTGTCAGGCACAGCGTTAAGAACAGGGTATACCAAAAAAAAAGTTCATTATCTAACTGAAGAAGCAGACATATAAAAAGCCAATCATCTTGTAATAAGAAAAGTGAGACGTGTGTTAAGAACACAGAAGAAGAAGGAGTACTCACTCCCCATGACAGTGGAGGATAAATGCAGATCTGGGAAGACTGCTTGGAGGAAATGACCTTTGAGTTGAATCTTGCAGGTTAAGGAAGATTATTTTTCCAGAGAAGGAGGAGAAAGAGCAGCCCAGGCAGAGGGGCCAATATGCACAAAAATATTCAAAAGGAAGTGGTCTGTACAGAGAATTACATAGGGCAGGTATTAAAGGGCTTTGGGTCCTATGCTAGGAAAACTGGACTTTATCTTGTATCCTGTATGCAGCAGGGCAATATGGTAAGATTCTGAATATGAGCAGAGTTGTGCTTTTGAAAACCCACTGAGCAGTGATAATAAGGCTGGATTAGAGAAGAAAACCAACAGTTGAGAGGCTACTGTCTTACTGAGGGCAAAAGGAAAGACTACCTGCCTCAGGCACTGAGGCTGAACCGAAAAAGATAGTGGGATGGAATAGTCAGAGTAAAGGCTTTGCAGACATCTCAGAAGGCCATATCACAAAGTTTCTAATGATAGGTGGGGAGCGGAGGTGATGATGTGTTTAGCTGAGGAGGAGAAGCCTATCAAAGAGCTGGATAAAGTGTAAATGATACAGACCTCACTTCATGTATGCCACGATCCAGGGACTGTCAGGGTGTTTCCTTATAGCCTATGCCAACTCTGCACCATAAGGGAAATAAGCTCAAGTTAAAGGGGACTGAGGCCAAAGTAGTTACAGAGTGCTCTGAGGGCCACCCAGAACATACCCTGCCCATTAAGCCTGTGACCTTAGGGTTCCCACTGCCCTAGCTCTGAACCTCACTTATTGAGGGAGGCTTTGCTTACAATATAAGTAGCTTTATTCTTCACTTTTTCCTTCTTGTCTAACAATTCGAATGTCTTTCCTTATCTTTACCTTGTGAAAAAACACATTCTCCCACCATCTTTGCCTACCGCCAACATGGTCTCTCTCCTTTCCAAAGCATCTCTGCCCTCTCCACTCCTCACCCACTCCTATTCACACACGACGCCTTTTTAGAAGTAGCAAGTGTAGGGCAAAGGGCAGTGAATCGGAAGTGAGGGGCAGTCTGGGGTGCCTGGGTGGTTCAGTTGGTTACGCACTCAACGCTCAGGTCATGATCTTGAGGTAGTGAGTTCAAGCCCTGTGTTGGGCTCTGTGCTGATAGCTCAGAGCTTGGAGCCTGCTTGGCATTCTGTGTCTCCCTTTCTCTCTTACCCTTCCTCTCTCTCTCTCTGTCTAAAATAATAAACATTAAAAAAAATTTTTTTTTTAAAAAGAAAGAAATGAGGGCAGCCTGTGTTCCAAGGTTGTCCTAGCTGACCAGGTGACTTTCAGAAACTGCTTAACCTCTCAACCTCAGTGTCCTCTGTTATAAAATGGGGATATGAAATGAATACCAACCTTTGCTTACCTCACAGAATCATTATAAGAGGAAAAGAGATAAAGTGCTTGCAAACCAACAGAAGGCAGGAAAATTGCTACAGAATTATCTGGATTGTTGGGCACTACTGCCCACCAGACTGTGAGTTTCTTATGGGCAGGGACCTGGTTACCTTCATCTTTTAATCTGGAGTAACTAATTATTCCTAGTACATGGTCAGTGTTTGATAAAGACGTTGAACTACCAACAAGGACCACTGCCACCATCAACACACGCGCGCGCACACGCGCACACACGCACACACGCACACACACGCACACACGCACAGGTGTCCTCGCCTCTCTCCCCCACCATAATGCAGGCAAACCCATAATACCTCCGCTTTTGGAAGTACTGCTCTAGCCCTGGTGTATTCCAAAAACAGCCAGTTCCTGGAGGAAAACCAAGTGATTGTCACGCGCCTGGATGCCTCCACTGGGCACGTTTGACCAAGTCTGAATTCCTCCCCTTCTCAAGGGAAGTTGCTAAGAACTGAACCCCAGAATCCCTCTCCTCCAAGGAGCCCCAGCTGGGTCTTTCCTTACCCCCTCCCACCTTCGTGCCAGGCATGCGACGTGTTTTATTATTTTTTTTTTCTTTGCAAGAGCTCAGCCGCCTCTACTGCTGTTTTCATTGATGCCTTGAGCAGACCTGGCATGTGCAACTGCTGAGAAGGGGGGGGGGGAGCGGAGCCGCGGGGGAAGCAAGTAAAAATAGCCTGGCGCGCGCCGCTCTGCCTGCTCTGGACGCCTTTAACCCTGGCCAAGGTGGGGAGCTCAGCAGCCGCTGCTGCACACTGCTGAATCTGGCAGGGGTCTGCATTCAGACCCCGTGCAACAGCCGGGGTGCGGGGGCTTAGAGACCCGTGAAAACTTTTTTTTTAGAAACCAAGAAAGGCGGGGTGGGGGGGTGGGGGGAGGGGAGAAAGCTGTTTCTTGCTTCCAGCACTCCAGCCACCTGGCTGCAGGGACTGCTATGTGCCCACTGGTCCAACACTTTGCAGAAGTGCAGCCTTGACTCTGCGCTATTTTTAGGAACCTTTTCCGCGGGTGGGCGATCAGAGGGAGGAGTGTGAGGGGATTGGGAAGGCTAGCTTTCTGCTGTGAGGCTAAGCGCCTTTGCGGGTGGAGAAGAGGAAGTGTCGAGGGGACAGTAGGCATGCTGGCTTTGCCCTAACTCAAGGAGACAGCGTTAGCTACTGAATGCCCTACTGTTTTCAAGCCCTTGAGCGTGTTTGGTTTTCGAAATCGACAATTGCCAGATGCATGCTGCTTCTAATCTCTCAGAGAATGGGGATTTTGAAAGCTTTGCTGCCTATTGCTGTGGGGTAAGGGTTAGCTGCAGTTAAGACCTTACCGAAGAAGATCGGAAGGGTCTCTGCACCCTTTTGCATTCCATCAAGACAGAGGGACAATCCCCGCGCCACACCTCCATCCCCGCCTCACGCTGCATATGGGTAACCATATGTGAAATGTACGGCAGCCCCACCAGACACCCGGCTATTAATAGAGCCCGGGAGTTTGCTCTCTGTCTTTTTCCTGCCACTGAGTAAGGGATGATCTTCACACACATACCCCACTCCGCCCCCACCTCGGCGCACCGTTTCTCCAGGAAGGTAAGGGGGCTGCCCACGCTGATCCCCTTCGTGACTACAGGTGCCTGAAGCCTACGGTCTAGTCCAGTTGTAACGACAGCAGGGTCACTGCGAGGCCCGGGAACACGGCGTCCAGTCTTGGGACGCAAAACCCAGCAGGGCTCGTTGCGGCTCAGGGCCAGCTCGAGAGTAGAGGAAGGGCAAGCTATTGGGCTGCCGAAGGCGGGGGGCAAGAGCGGCCTCCCCCAAAGCTTCTGCGGGACGCGTGTCTGTAGACCCATCTCTCCCCTGCAGCCCTTGACGCTCAGCCCCCACCCCGCGCGAGCTCGGCCGCGCCAGGAGCGGGCGCTGTCCCTGGTTCTGAAGGCGGCCGCGACCCGCGCTCCCTCCCCGGGTTTAGCGCCCCCGAGGCGGCTCCAGCATCCCAGGACTGCAGATCGCTCTCCGGCCCACGTCTGGGCGGGAGGGTCTGCTGGTGGGGCCCGAGTCCCACCACGCGCTCGGGCTGGCCCCACCGTGGCCCGGAGCTCTCCGCGGTGCGGCGGGGACCGAGAGCTGGGGGACTGACTCGAGCTTGAAGGGTAAAGCTCAGGCAGCGGCTGGAGACGGTCAAGGCGCTGCAGGGAGCAGACCTGGCCCCAGGATCATCCACCCCAGCTTTGCACAAAGCTGGACCCCTAATGGAAGCCAGACGAGAGGGCAGGGGAGCGCTGCTGCCCGGGGTTTGGGACTTGGGGAAAGAGAAGCGAGCAGCGGGTGGCAGGAGAGGGAGATGGGGTGAGAGCGACTCTTTTGCATTTTCAAGAGGGAGGGGACCTGAGACATGCACTGTCTTTTCCCCCAACACACACACACACACACACACACACACACACACACACACACACACGGCCAGCAGAAGCAAGCGGGATGGAGCTGGGGAAAGTTTGGCACGAGGTGCTGAGCAGCGGCGGCGGCGGCGGCGGCGCGGTGGTCCGGGGGGGGGGGGGGGGGGGGGGGTAGGGGCTGCCGGGGTCGCGGGGAGCCCCGGCTCTCTCGCCTCCTTACCTCGGTGTTCTCGGCAGCGTTCTCCGCCATTTTCCTCCTTAGGAGCAGGCAGCGGGAGGAGTGTTTCATGCCCATAAGAGCCAGCAAGGGTTTGATGATACAGAGATAGTAGAGAAAGAGAGAGCTGGTGTAGCTTTAAAAGAGAGAGAGAATGGGAGGAAAAAAAAAAAAAAAAACCCAACCCAGCCCCTCTGCTGGAGCGTCAGCCGATACAATCAACTACGGTTGAGTCTTTTCTGCAGTCTCCACTTTGTTTTATTTTCCTCCCTTCTCATCTGCTCCGGATTCCTTCACACAGTTTCAAGTTCCTCTCGCGCACCCGACCCCCTCCCCGCCCCTCTCCGCCCGCGCTGCGGGCTAAGCTGGAGGGAGGCAGCCCCGAAGGCTCCGCGACAGCGGCGGCGTCTCTTCTCCCGGCTGCTCGCAAAGTCCGGCCGGCCGGAGGCAGAGCCACCAACTCCTCTCAACTTCTGCCGATCCGCTGGGCGAAGCAACACGCTTCCTGCGCGTCTCTCCTAGGGGCTGAGCCGGGTGAGTGGGGGCGGGGTAGGAGGTTCGGTCGAGCGGGCGGCGGCTGGGCGCAGACGGAGGGCCCCCAGCGCCCCCGGGCCCGCCGCCTCCTCCAGGCTCCAGGGGGGTCTTGGCCGCCTCCACTCCCAGGCGCTGTGGACAAGTTGCGCGCGGGCAAAGGGCTCCGCGGACGATGCAGGGCCACGCGGGAGACTCGATGAAAGCAGGCGCCGGAGCTGGGTTCTTGCAGGTCCTTAGACCCCGGTGTGCGTCCTCCCACCGAGGACAAGCTCTGGACACGACTGGGCCATCGTTACCTCGCCCCCATCCCACCCCACCCCCAACTCCCCAGATCCTCTGTCAGTTCTTGGTTCCTTCCTTGGCGAATTATGGTTTCGGGAGCGAAGGGGTGGGTGTCTGGATGAGGGAGGGTCCTTAACTCCTTCAACTCTAAGGCTAAGTGTGCTATCATCTCCCCTTTTCTTCCACTGTCCCTGTCCAGGCACTTGGGACTCCAAGCTTCTCTCAGGTTGAGAGGTTGGGCCAAAGGTTCAGCCAGAGGTGGCTTGGAAGAGACCATAGGAGAAAGTCAACTGGATGAGCCTGCAGTCCTGCTCCCCTTACCTTAGTCTTCCCTAGCAGCCCCCTGCCCACACATTTCTCTTCTCCCTCCTCACCCCTCCCCCATGGTCACCAGATTTTGAAGTCCTTTTATGGGAGAGAGGGAGGATGTCACGTACCCATTAGGATTCTCTTGATCCTTTTTTAAGGGAGTTTGGGCGGCAGCAGGGGGTGTGAATTTTTATACAATGCATTCCCGTCTTCACTTTGAGAGCTTCTTTTTCTCTGTCTTACTGGCCATCTGTCAGGCGGGTGGGAAATAGAACATGGGGGGCACTCTGTCTCTCCCTCTGCAACAGACCACTCAGGCTGGACTCCTTCAAAGACAGCTGCACTTTCAAGCTTTCAGCCCACAAGTCAAGGACAGGGACCTAAAGGATGCTCCTTGAGCACCCTGGCTCTCTTCACTTCATCCGTGTAGTTACACAGGGAGATCAGTTCTGCATGCATGCCCTATTTGTTTTATCACCTTTGACAGCCAGGAAATGTGCGCCTGGTTGTCCTCAGCTAACCTCGGGGTCCATTGAAGAAATGGACCAGAATCTAAAAATGCCTCCATCACCTGGTCCTAGGGGAAAGAGAGGATGCATTGCATTAAGTGGAGGAGGGAGAGGAGGAGGAGGAGTGGAGAGTAAAAAGAGTGAAAAGATCATGGGCAACAGGCTTGAGTTATTGGGCATGTATGCATGTGTGTGCGTGTTGTGTTTGGGAGAGAGACTATAAGGAGAGACTAACTCCTTAACCTTTTTCTTACTCAGACCACAGACCTTGACTAGTGTTGGGGGTGAGTAAGCAGAATCTTTGGCAACACCTACCTGGTCATCCGCCTTCCCTTTCACACATGCAGAAAGCTCTACGGGAATGAATGAGATGAATCTAAAGAATGACTTTTACCCTCTTGAACTGCATTTTCCCAAAGCAGCTTTCTCAGAAACAAAAGATTATGAGGCATCTCATCCTCTACCAAGAGTCTCAGTACTATTACAATCAGTGAAAATCAGAAAGGAAAGGATCGTCACGGCTCTTTGGTCCAATCCTCTCATTTTACCAATAAGTACTCTGAGATCAGAGAAAGGAGGCCATTTGTCCATGATCCTTCAGCCAGCTGAGGGAACATCTGAGAGAAGCTCCCCAGCCTCCTGACTTTCAGTTCTACACTTTTCCCCCACCCTACCCCACACTGTTTCTGCCTGTGCAGTGCATCCATTCTGTGACTAACCAGGGAGGAGGGGAGCGGAGACAAGCTCCCACCGAAATAGGCTGCTGCCTGTGCGTGATTATGTTGCTATGAGAACCTCAGTGGGTGTGTTTCCTCCGTTCTCTGTTGAAATCTTTAGCTTGGCTTGGCTTCTCCCCAAGCACAGACACGGCTCCCTTTAGAATGAGGAGTGGAGAGGCTGAGATGGAGAGCTACATTCTCCTGGCAAGAGTTTTCTATTCCAACCCCCAATGCAGGGCCAGCCTGGGGCTGTGAGTGGAGACCATAGGCCACCAAAGTGGTTCCATAATGGCTGGAGTGAGTGGTCTTGAAAGTGTATAGTCCAGTCCTCTGTTGAGCCACTTTGGAGCAGAGTTGTTCTTGCTATATTCCCACCCAATTTAAGCAAAAGAATTGTTACTTTAAAAGACTAAGTCTTGTCTTGTTACACAGCAAAAGATTACCTGAACACTCATATCCTAGGGTTGTGAGAACTGATGATGCATGAACAGTGTCTAGCAAATAGTAGGCATCCCCACTACCTCACTATTTACAGGAATTCAGTCTTTCGCCGTCTCTTTTTCATAAGTATGTCAACACAATTTTTACAATATTAAAAGAATTTTGCAAAGAATTCTGTTAGATGCCTAGCTCATTAGTAGGCTTGACAACAGGCAGCAAAAAGTATTGGACTGACCATTGAGGAACTCTCAGTTTAGCTACCTTGAATGCGTCGAAAGTGTATAGAACTTTCATAGAAGCGCTTTTGAAGGGATTTAATGGGAGGCAAGAAGATACACAGGATGACAAGACATACAAGGAGTTCACTAAGATGTAGGTTAAATAGTCTAGAATAAAATGCCCTACCAGGTAAAGATGTCTTAACGACACATTTTGCTTATGTCTTCAGTGCAACAAAATGTATTGAAGAGTACATGTAAAGTGCTTAGGATAATGCCTGGCTCCTGGGAAGACCACAAATGTTGTGTTAACATTTGCTAGGCCCTGTGCAAGGTTCTGAGTCAAACTTTAGGGAGGACTTACTACATGCCAGAGATTTATCTAGACTTAATGAGTCTACATGTCAGTTCTTCCAACAACTCTTTTTGGGAAAGTACTGTTATTATCCCTAAAAAACAAACAAAACAAAATAAATGAGAACACAAAAACACAGAAACTGTCCCAAGTGGTAAAGTCAGGATTCAAATCTAGTATGCTTTATTCTATAGCATGACCTTCAAGAGGTTAACCAGATTCTGTGAACAAGACCATGGTTCTCAAACTTGGCAGCAAGGTGGAATCATCTGAGGAGCTTTAAAAAGTACCAGTGCTTTTCTTCAACACCCAGAGAGTATGATTTAGTGAGACCTGGGCATCAGAATTTTTTTTAATTCTCTAGCTGGTTCTGTTGTGCAGCCATGGTTAAGAACAATTGGACAAGGATAGGTGGAAAAGATGAAAGTACCCACAGAGAAAGAAGGTCTCTATGTTATAGAAAGGGCCCCCCAGAACTATAGGAACCTCCCACAGTATAGAAAGCTCCATCTCTAACACAGAAGTTCTTGAGAGCCACAAAGTTCTTGAGCGTGAAAATGTACTGATGATTTATCCAGCATGAAAAGGTTGGAATAAGACTCTTGGGAAGGGCTATAATTGGAAAAGTTATCTGCCTTTGCGAGATGCCACACAGAAGTGAGTTTCCTGCCACTGGAAGGGTTCAGACTAATTATTTGGCATAGCTGTTGCAGTGGAACTGCAAACCCTAGGTGGAGCAAGGCCTCTGAGGTTCCATTCACTCCATGCTGCAACTCCAGAATGGTCTCCTTTCATTTCTGAGCCCTCCAGGAAGTGAAGACTGTGTAGTATCTCACCTTCAGGAGGTAGTCAGCACTGCCTTTGCTGCTTCCCCAAATCCAGTGCCCCTGCAATCAGGATGCAATCTCTAACTGTCTGAGAAAGCCTGGACTCTGGCTCATTCAAATGTGGTTACTGCAATGAAAGGTGTATAAGACATGTCCTGTGGTTTCCCCCTCCTCCTTCTAAGAGAACCTCACATGTGGCCTGGGCTCACATATGGCTAAGGCACGCTCCTCAAGAATCAGGCCACGGCCGTGATCCATCACCACCTCATGGCAGCTAACCCAGCAGTGTTCTGAATGTCTTCTGGTCCAGCTGGGAGCCCAGCCAAGGCTGCAGCAGCCAGCTAGCTACCTGGCGGAGCCTCCAGGCAGCTCCACACCTGGGCAGTTTTCCTGTACAAAATTCTGCACAGTCCTATTTCTCTCTAATCCAAGGCCCAATTATTTCTTACACTACATCCCAAAGAAGAGCTCGCAAGAGTGTCCCCAATATCTTCAAAGTCTAGGTTTCTTTTGCTTTTTCCTTTTGTTGTTAAAACCAGAATGTTCCTTCTCATTCTGGTAATATCTGAGTAAATTAATGCATTGTTGTTTTGTGCTGGATATGAAGACATTTGGTTTGATTATTCTAACAATATCTGAGGGGTATTTTCTTAGTAGTTCTTTATTAATAGCTTAATTCTTGATGTTTTGTGCCTCTAAAAAACTGAATACCATCATTACCTGCCTTTATCTTGGGGTAAGGAGGACTTAAAAGACATCTAGATTTTCTCAGTGGCCTATGATGGAACCACTTCTTCAGAGAGGTGGAAAGAGGGAGATAGTAGTACAACCATAAAGGCACTTAAATCTTCCTTCTAAAGTGCTATCACAACAGAAATTAGTTTTTTCTTCTTGCCAGAAACTGTATACTCCACTCCTTTCTTCCTTTTCAAATCTTTCATAAAGGGTTACCTTTTTCTGGAAAGTCTCTCCTAAGTCCTCCAAAGCTAACTAGGAATCAATTCAGTGTATCCAGTGCAATAATTCAAGACACCTTTACTTCTATTAGCCCTTACATTAAGTACTATGATCCAAGCACTGTGCTAGGCATGCTAGACTAGAAGATGAAATGACATATCCCTACGCTGATGACACATTTTCTTCCAGGAAGAGTAGTTGGTCAGGTCCTATCAGGGGTTATATGGATTGGTTCTAATAGGTTAGATATAGCTATAATCAATAGTTTATAGTCACATAAGTCTTACCAAAAATAAAGTATCTATTGATATGGACAGGGAGATCCTTGAGGTTATAGGGAAGCATAGTAGCTTCCATTCAAGTAACTCTGAGGACACATTCTCTACCAAGATTCCAAAGTTCCTGTGTGTTTCCAAAACTTTTATGGATAAGAAATGGTCAATCTTGCCTCCCTGCCAGATGTGTTATACACTGATGTCACTTGGAGCATAACACAGTATGACCTGCCCTAGAAGTCTGATGTCTGGCGTCTCAGGTATAGATAGCCCCACCTGAAAATGCACAGTGAGTGGAGACAGTTAAACAAAGCTGCGCTTGATTCCATCTGTTTCCTTCCTGTATCATTTAACCACACTGATCTCTTTCTTCTCTTCCCAGAAGAAAAAGCATGGTCTTTGTAGGCTTACAGATCAGTAGATTAACCTCTCCATTTGTGTGAAAATGGCTTAATGGTGATCTCTCTGCCAGAAAGCTTGTGACAATAAAACGAGCCAATGTAGATGAAACACCTAGCATAGTTCCTAGGAAATAGTGTTCAAATGAAAGTCCGTTTCCTTCCCAGCATCTCATCACACAAGACCATGTCTACCTATGTGAGAAAGACACACAGTGTGATGTGGAGAAAGAGTGTCACTGCAAAGGTCAGCAGACTAGGAGCTCTAGTCCCAGCTCCATCATTAAATAGGTTGGTGGCTTTGAGAAAGCCCCTTTTACCTCTCTCAGCCCATTTCTTCTTCTTTAAAAATAGGGGTTTACATGAGACAAGCCCTCCTTCCCTTTTATGCTTTGTCATTTTATGTGTGGCACAAATTATGAGTCTGACTACATCCAAATGACAACAAAGACTGGTCACATGCATCTCAAACCAAAATGCAACTCTAATGGCCAAAACAAAGACTGAAGAGTAAAACAATGTCTCCTTCCCACTTGTAAGAGAGCTTGAGTAAAAAGTTACATTTCTGCTCATTCCAAGAACTTACAAATGATACTTGTAGGTAACACTCATTACAATGTTCACTCCAGTGCTGGGCCGTGATTAGAGATTACCAGAGGTCAAAAGGAGTTCTTTTTTTTTTTTTTTTTTTAACAGTACTGCTTGATTCTAGCAGCCTCGAAGACCACAACCAGTCACTATAATGGTCATCACGTCATATCTCCAGCACTTGTCAAAGGACAGAGTTCAGCGTGTAAACCAATGAATTTCTTGACAACGCAAACTACCTGGGTGTAGTCAGCATAACCTCATCAAGTCTCAATGACCTGTATCGATGCCCAAATAATGCAAATTGGCAGATTATCCAAAAATTGCTTTTCTTTGACTCATTTTAAATATCCAGATACACTCAAATAGAATTTCTACCGGTCTCATGATTCTTGGTTTCAAAGCATATTCAAATTAATGTGCTGTCCCACAGTACACAATAATGGTCACAGATGATGGTCCAGAAAGCAGCCAGGTATGTTGCTGGAGAAGCCAGCCACAGTCGTCCTTTCTGCCAGAAACAATCCACTCTGTGGCTCCTTCATCTATGGGAGAAAACAAATCAATTATCACACCTAACATACCTGTCTGGGTCATGGATTGTTCAAGTTATACCACAGGAAAAAAATGCATAAAGGTTAAGTGACATTTTAAAATCACACTGCAAGAGAAGAGAGACTTCAATTTCTTGGACCATCCAGCTAACCACTTAATTCAAATGCAGCTGTGGCTTTCCAGAGGGAAGGGCTTCCCTCTCCTGGGATGGAAACACTGCTTGCAAAACTACGAGCTATCTCTTGTGGATGTTGTTCTTCTCCTAGGCCCTCCTGAAAGGGAAAAAGAGCCCAGTGACCTCAGAATAGTGACTTCAGGCCAAGTGTCCACTCCAGGCTAAGCACTGTGCTGAGGGCACTCTATACACTACCCCCACTGAGTTCTCACACCATCCCTAGATGTTAGTTGCATTGTTATCCCTGTTTAATAGATCAGGAAAAGACAGCTCAGAAAGGTTAAAGAGCTTGCTCAAGTCACACACCTAGTAAGGGATTGAATCCTCAGAGCCCATGTCTTTCTGACTCCACCAGTGGAAGAAGCACAGACCTCAGAGTCTCACATACCTGGTTTTCAATCCAGCCGTAAATTTCCCATCTGCAAAAAAAAAAAAAAAAAAAAAAGGAAGAAGAAGAAAAGAAAGAAAGTGGACCTGGTAAAACCTACTTCAGGTTTGTTGTAAAGTGACTGACCCAGAATCAGGCTCATCGTAGACCTCAATAAATGGGCATGATGGTCACATCATGTGGCCGGATGTGACCGACTTAACTCAGCAAAACTGCATCTGCTGCTATGTTACTCTCAGCCACGAGTACAAGTATTAAAAAAGTATACAAGTACAAGCCACCTCCAGAGGCCAGAGTATCTGTCAACCTGGCAATGGCTCTAGACAGGGTACCTCCATCTAAATGGCAGCTATCAACCTATATTCTTGCTGCAGTTCTTACTGTCACATCTGCTTAGTAACTGCCCTAAGTGGTGTCATTCTGGGTGGCATACCTTATTTGCAGGTATAGGGGATGTTGCTTTTTTTTTTTAACTTCTGGAAAATTCAGCCAATGCAGTGGGCAAATCTGCCATACAACTACATTAGGACTTAGTTAATGCATCCTGAATGAATGTGGGATTAATTGCAAGAAGGAAGGAAAGATCCAGCACTTTAGCAGGTGGGTGGTGGATTGAGAAGGGAGAGAACGATATCAAAAGAACTTCATATATATATGCTCTCACTCTTTTCCAACCTGCAAAGATGGCCTTTATTTATTTTTATTTTTTTTGGAAAAAAAATATATATCTGTATTTTTTCCTCCTGATCTATAAACCCTGGGTCCATAAGGCCTGGAAGTTTCAGGTTATGCCTTCTGAGAGGCTCTGAACAAACCAAGTCCACTTCCTTATGCCTCATTTTGTCTCTAGTTAATACAAGATTGGGCTTCCTCCTTCTTTCTGCTAGTTGAATAATGGAGTCCATGACATTGTTTTCCTTACTGCTCTTTCCCAGACTGAGTTTGGAACAAACTTTCCAGTCTTATAGAATCATCACCTAAATCTTGGTGGATGAGAAAGAGGGAGATTGCAACAGTGAGCTACTGGACTTTTCTCTAACCAGGGCCAAGGGCTCCTTTCACTGGCCCTAGATCAGAGGTTATTTGTGTCTACTGGCATCTCAGGCAGGGTTCAAATGATATAAGAGGAACTCCAGTATAACCAGGCCACTCCAGTTCCTCACACTAAATAACAATTACCCAAACTTCCCATTCTTGGCCCCTCTTTTTTTAAATTTTTAAGTGTTAATTTGCTTTTGAGAGGGAGAGAGTGCAATCCAGGCGAGGGGCAGAGAGAGGGAGGGAGACACAGAACCTGAAACAGGTTCCAGGCTCAGCTGTCAGCACAGAGCGCAACGCAGGGCTCGAACTCACGAACTGTGAGATAATGACCTGAGCCAAAGTTAGATGCTTAACTGGCCAAGCCACCCAGGCGCCCCTCTTTGCCCCTCTTTTGACAGGGAATCCCTTTACCACCCTTTCCTTTTATAAAGACCCTCCCAAGGGTTTCTAGGAGACTCTGTAGAACCACATCACATGTACTCACATTGAGTCTCTTCCTCCTCTTCCTGCTCCTCCTCTTCCTCTTCCTTTTTCATCTCTGGCTTCCCTTAGTCAATGTCCAATGACTTTGAGGTTGCTTTTAGGAACCTTGCCATTGCCCAAGTTGACAACATCCCTCATGAGGATGCTGATAGCTGTACCAAGGCTAGTCTTCCAGCACTTCCAGCAACTTCCAGATGTCATCAGAAGCAGGAGCTGACTCAGCGAGCCCCAAAGCCCACTCCTTGCACTCCAAGTCTCTTCAAGCCTCTTAGAGAAGCAGCCCCTTCTGCTTCTGGTCCAAACTCTTCCATTGTTCTGCAAGGGCACAAAGCCCAGTGTCAGGGGCGAATGCCAATGACACACCATCCCTTCTGTTGCTCAGTTTCTTCCTCTTCTGTCTTCCACACACAAAATAGTAGTACAAACTCCTCCATTCTTCAGCCATAAACAGAAGTGCCCACGATGGTCAGTCAACTCCTGCAAATGAAGCCTTGGGGGAGGGCCAGGGACCTGGCTCCAACCAAGCCGGGATGCCCATTACACGGAAAGCACTAGGCTGAGCATCTTCTTATTGGAGATGGGTGTGGGCAGCACTGTCTTATTTGTTCATGCTTTGTCAAGGAAATTTCTCACCGGTGTGTCCGGGCCATGTTCTTCTATATTTAGTTGGATGGGTAGATAGTAGCATTTATGGAATGTCTACAATAGGGGGGACCCATTATCACATCAGCCCCAACTTTGTCCTCCAATTTCAATGAATTCCATAATTTCTCTGTGTCGGCTTCCCCTCCATCATATTACCACACTGTTGGTAATTAACGCTCTTGGGGAAACAGCCCTTGAAGTTTATTAGCTATCAGCTGTTGGTGCCTTCCCAGAGGTATTTACATTGCAAAAGGAGAATCTGGAAGTCTATGTCACCTCCAAGTTACAAAAGAATGAATCTCTAATGGTGGAAGGTCAAGCAGCAGTGACAGACTGGTGAGAACAGGATTTGTGGAAAGTCATCCTGCCCTTTTTAAAATCATTACACTTATTTCATTCTGCTCGTCACTAAGTTGTGGCCTGGCCTACAGGCTGCAGAAAAAGCATGGAATTCCTCGTGGGGAGGGACAGAAATAAAGTACTGAACTTGAATCAGGAGACTAAATTCTAGCTCTTGTTCTGTCACGAGTTGCTGAAGGCCCTGGGGTGGAGAGCTGTCAAGACAGAGACCCCTGAGCAAAAGGAGAGGGTGACTAAGGTTTTTCCCTGCCTTCACAACTCTTTGTAGTTCTGGTTTTCATCTATTCCTCTGTAATGTGAGGAGTTGGGACAAGCTGAATTTGTGGGTCACTTTCAACTCTTTCAAGCTATTATTATGAACACTGTGACTGGCATTCAGTGGAAAGATGCTGTCCCCAGGAAAAAGTATTAGGAAAGCTTGTGTTTCAAGTGGCAGTTAGACCCTAAGAATAAATACCCAACCCTACCTGTATTCATAGTTGTTTTTCTTTGGAAAAAAAAAAAAAGACAAGTTTTAAATACCACCTTGAGGAGTTCAAGTGCTCATGGTATCTTAGTAGGAATCGTTTGTTTTAAAACATTATGTCCAAGGGAGACTTGCAGGGAAGTTCTGTCCAGCTGCAAGTTTATGGAGAAACATGTCAGCTAGGGTTATCCAGGCACATGGAAAGGGCAGGCTGGTGAAATGCATCTGTGGACTGGGACTCCAGGCTCTTTGCAAGGCAGCCATAAACAGCTGCCTGTTCCTCCACCACCTTCCTCATCACACTTCTTACCCTCTGCCCCTGCTATCATAGTTTTCTCTGGTTCCATTCAGATGCTTTAAAGTGGCATATAGTGCCTGAAGCATGAATAAAAACATCTGAGGGTCTAACCTGACACTAATATATAACATATAAAAACTCTCCACAGCAGGTTCAAGAATCAAGCAATCTTTTTTTAATTTTTTCCCTAGGCAAGGATGGCATGAGGTCATGTGCACTCAAAGCTCTTTAAGGAATGAGAACAACTCTCAGGCTGGTCCTGAAGTCCAGTGAGTCTTCAGGGGAGTGACTTAACCTTTCTTGGCAAATAGCAAGTGAAACACAGGAAAGCCTTCCCAAGAGATACTAAAATAGCTACTTCTTTAAGGTTTTTTTTTTTTTAAGCAGAGAAGAGAGTTATCTGAGGAAAATAGTTTAAATTCATGCTTAGGGCTCCTGGGTGGGTCAGTCGGTTAAGCATCTGACTCTTGATTTCGGCTCAGGTTATAATCTCACAATTCGTGAGTTCAAGCCTCGCATTGGGCTCTGTGCTGACAGTGCAGGGCCTGCATGGGATTCTCTCTCTCCCTCTCTCTCTGCCCCTCCCCTGCTTGCTCTTGCTCTCTCTCTCACTCTCAAAGTAAATAAACTAAAAAAAAAAAATGTTTTTAATTCAGTACCACCTGGAGCTAGGGGACAGGACATGTGATTTCAAGGGTCCCCTACTAAGTTGTACAATCTAAGATTATAATAAAAGGACAAAAATATATTAGCCAAGTTCCTAGGGCTCTTCTGAAGACCAGTGATTGAGCATGGCTGCGTCTTAGCCTCCCTTCAATCTGGAGAGTCAGGGAGAATCACCAGACAAAGGCTCATGTGGGTGGAGAGAGGATTAGGCTCCAGAGAGGGCCAGGCCTAACATCGAATGGGAGAAGATGCCAGAGAAGCACAAACTCACATCAGGAACATGAGCCCCACTTGCTTTTCTTAAACATAATTATGCAGGGGATATAAATTTGAGGGGGTGGGGATTATAATAACATATGAATTTTTGAAAAACCTTCCAAACCCTTCTCTGTGGAGAGGATCCAGACCACTTCCCAGTCAGAATCTGTTGTGCCTTGGCTCAAATTCTGCTGACCTGTGGGGCAGCCCCATATGCCCCTCTCATGCCCACCAGGAGGCTTCCTGAAGCAGCATTTTGTGGATTCACTTAGACTTCTGGTACCTACAGCCTCCTCCAATAATTGTTTTTAGTTTCCATCCCAAGGTTGTCAGGGCTTCTTCCTGACTGGTCTTCCCCTTACATCCAGGAGAGCTGGCAGTGTCCCAAACTGGGGAGAGCTGGGCAAAGTTCCCAGAGGCCCAGGCCATGCTTATCTCTGCTCAACTGGACGTATACCAGATGTTCTGAGTGATTTAAGCCTGCCATTGTACTGCTTCCAATCAAACAAAGTCACAGAGGCATGTTTACTGCGACCCAGAGCATCAGTCTAGGGAGAGAGTTCATTTCCCCAACCTCATCCCCTCTGAACACTTAATGGGATGGATTTGAGAAGTAAGAGACAGAAAACATTTAATGGGATGATGGCAACCCGTAGCCATAGGTCTTCAGGCTTCAGAGACAAAAGCAAGGGCTTGGATCAGGATTGAGAGGAGATTGCCAACATGGCCTGCCCAATCGGCACGTTAATACCATTAATACAGTGAACGTACACAGGCAGCTCAGCTCATACCTTCTGGATGGGGCATTTGCTTCTATTTAGTCAATTGTCTGTGAAGAGAACAGATACGTTCCCTCTTCCTCCACCAGATGCAAACTAACTGAAACTGCCCTTGTCTAAGACAGGAGTATGTGCCATTAGCAAAAAGTAAGTCCTTGGCTCCTATTCCCATCCCACTTCTATTTTTCATGACCTGTAATGATTTTTATAGAGGGAGCCAGTAAATGGTAAACTGTTTGAACTGGTTAGGTCAGAAGTGATATACACAATCAAATGATAATTTTCCTGGGTATACAATTCCAGTTCAATATCTTCCCCACCCTCCCCAGTTTTGTGCATACAATTCCACTGCCTTTTGCATCTAGCATTTCTACTGAGAAGTCTGCTGTTGTTCTCATTCCATTTTTTATTCCATTTTAGATTTTTTTCCTTCCCTGGAAGTTTTTTCCTTTTCTTTTTTTTTTTTTCTTTTCTTTTTTTTCCTTATCTTTCCTTCTTTCTTAAAAAAAGAAATTTTTTTAAGTTGCATGCCCAACATGGGGCTTTTGATCTCAAGATCAGAAGTCACGTACAGAAGTCACATACTCTCCTGACTGAGCCATACAGGCACCCCACTCTGTCTTTTATTTTTTTCTAAATAGTTTTCCTTTAACCTTATTATTGTGATGTATCCAGTTACAGGTATTTTCTCATTTGTCATCTTTGAGTCTTGAGACTTATGTTTTATACTGATTATTTTAAACCTTCTGGTAAATTTTATTGTATTGTTTCTTTTCTATTTTCTTCAACTTCTGAAACTTCTTGTAGACAGATACCAAAATATCTGAATATGCTCACCAAATCTCAACTTTTCTTTCCATATTTTAATCTCATGATCTCTTAGGCTGCATAAGAGAACTCCTCAGTTTTACCTTCCAGTTCACTAATTTACTCTTCAGTTATGTCCACTTTGATGATCCTGCCCATCTGTTGGTTTTTAAATTTTGTGAACATTTTTAGTTTCCAAGGTCTTTGGCTGATTTTTTACCAACCCATCAGCAGTACTTATTCCAAAATCTCCAGAAAAGTCCCATTCTGCTTCGACTACTAACATTTCCTTGGGTGTGAACTTTTTTTAACTGTAGTCAGCACTTCTTTTTCATGTTATTGGTTTTCCATACATTTTTGGTGAATCCTACATACATGCTCATTTTTGTATCAGAAAATGCATGTTAACTTGGTCAATAGAGGGAAAGAATAGGATGTACTATGGGGCAAGTTTTACTTTAGCTTTTCCAACATATGTGAGGGAAGATGCTTACTGTTTGTAGAGTGAGCCAGTAGGGAGTACAGAAGTAGAAATCCTTCTCCTGAGTTATGTTGGCCATCTGGAGCACTACTCTGCCTCTCTGACCGAAACAACCAAGTGATCTCTATTACTCACTGTCCGAAAGGGGCCAAATGTAGAGGTGTGGAGGGAATCATCTTCCTGGCAACCCCAACTACTTGCCTTGTCATTTACTATAGGCTTCTTTCTGCCCCATATTTTCTATTTTGAGACCAGGACCCCATTTTTTAGGAATCCTACATAGCATATGGAGTTGTGGCTTCCTTCATCAGATCTTGACTACTTCCCATTCTTCAGGGATTCCTCAGTTTCTGACTTACCAAAAATGTTTTTTCTTGTTTTCTAGCGCTGAATGTATTTTAAAAATATTGGCATTTTGGGCGCCTGGGTGTCTCAGTCGGTTAAGCTGTTGATTTCCTCTCAGGCCATGATCTCACAGCTTGTGAGTTCGAGCCCTGCATCAGGCTCTGTGCTGACAGCTCAGAGTCTGGAGCCTGCTTCAGATTCTGAGTCTCCCTATCTCTCTCTGCCCCTCCCCCACTCACACACTGTCTCTCAAAAATAAACATTAAACATTTTTAAATAAAATATATGTTATTTCTGTGGAAATATTTATCATTGCATATGGGAATTTGGGACGGAAGGGTGAGATTGCCAATTTTGCTTAATCCTTCATCTTAAACAAAGAGACGTGATATGTTCTCAATAAAGGGTTATTGGTTGAGTAAATGGACTCTCATGCTCCACTGTAAGTTTTATTTGAAAATTTTCTACCTTTGAAAAACTGTTGATTAATTGACTAAACAATTGCCTTCAACCCGCCCCTCTCTCATTTTAAGTGAGTGTAGAATTTGGCATCAGATGGTAGACTCTTAACCAGGGCCTACTGGCATGGCTTTTCTTGCCTTTACCTATTATTCCAGATCTTTCAAGGATTGGTAAATTGAAAAAAAAGGCCCTAATGTTTTTCATTAATAACAGATGCCCACATGAGCTAATAACCATTGGTGGCTCCTGATGTTGAGTGCAACTTTGTAATCTTTAGAAGTATTAGTAAAATTTGGATTCTAGTGAAGAGGATGGGCCTTTGACAGTGTAAGGAAGAGATGAAACCAGTCTTGTTCCTCCTCTGCCATTGAAGGACACATAGAAGCTCAGGGATACTGCACCATTTTATGTCATCTGAGTGAAAGCCATGGTACAAGTTTCCATCCTGCAATTCATGCTCACAATCCAGGAGGCACTCACAGCCAGCAAATGCAACATGGCTTCCTACAGAATGTAGATGGGCCCAAGCCAAGGTTCTGTAGAATAAATCTCTACATGGGGTGGCAGGGTAGATGACATAACATCACATATAAGCTCATGAAGAGTTATATCATAAAGAGGCTCCACTGGAGAGTTCAGTCTACCCCTTCTGAAAAATGTAGCCACTTCTTCACAACTCACTAAAGCCCTGTCATGTCCTTAAGGTCTCATTAAGTTTTATTTCCATGAAAACTTTCCTGTGGCCTTCCAGCTCACAGGGAATCTTTTTCTTTCTTTCTTTTTTTTTTTTTTTCATTTAAACATTCACAGCATTATGGACAGTGTCACTGACTTTGACATCTCATCTTATAGAGTTTTGTCCTACTTAGCCAAAAGTTACATCCAACAACTGTGATTATGCAGAACACAGCTTAAGGGAAGAAAAACACTCTCAGAAAAGTAAGGAGAGTAGTTATCGCATTGTCTATGCAACACTCCAACCACCAAGCCAAAGTTTATTACCCTTAAGTTGAATATAAAGTTAAGCTTGCTCATTAAACAAAAATAGTTCTTTTATTTCTCCAGTCAATGTTCAATTCTAATGGTTACATCCAATTAGGGTACAGTAGTGGCTAGAACTTGACAAGAAATGACTGCCATTGGTTTGGAAGAAAGAAGCACCAACAACTAGAAAATTTGGGGGGACATTTAAGGAAAGGTCAAGTTAGAACCAAACCATTACAAAGAGATTAAATTGTGTTCTGTGAATTCTACTTTATAAGGCAAAAGAGATTATCCTTTTAAAGACCTCCATCAAAAGTGTTTGAATAGAATGTTTCAGAACATAAAAGCTATAAGATTATCTGCTGCAGGAAAAGCCAGGTACAAGGGGCACTCCATGTCCAAACCAAGTGGAATAAAGAAACTCAAGCTACTTCCTCCTTCTGTGCTGCAGATGCTTAACCATTTCCTGGCCGTGCCTCTTGATTTCTCAATTGTAAGATCCAAGACGTCAGGGTTACACCTTCTGTTCACTTCCTTC